CGACGACGACGACGACGACGACGACGACGACGACGGTGGCGGCAGCGGCGGCGGCGGCGGTGGTGGTGGTGGTGGTGGCAGCGGCGGCGGCGGCGGCGGTGGCGGCGGCGGTGGCGGTGGCGGTGACGACGACGACGACGACGACGACGACGACGACGACGACGACGACGACGACGACGACGACGGCGACGGCGACGGCGACGGCGACGGGGACGGCGACGGCGACGGCGGCGACGGCGACGGCGACCAAGAGCTTGATGCCAGGCGGTCCTTGATGCCAGGCGCGAGTCTCAGTGTTGTTTATCGTGTCTTTGCGTGAACAGCAACTGGAACAGCGGGAGCGGTGCCATAGCGGCCAACAGATTAGGGAAAAGTTATGAGGCCCTGCTTTATACCCGTTGTCGTCGTCTTGATCCTGATCGAGGCACCTGACCGTAGTGAACAGCGAATCTCTTTCAACACGTATGTACAGCGGGCGAATTGATTTGTCAATCCATTCTCGCTTTCGTGCTCGTTCTTAGATACTTGGTGACAACAACGCCAGTCTAATCGTCGTTGTCGCGTGTGCGATTATTTAGGTCAACTATGAAAAATCGTGTCTCTCGACGAAAACGTTGCGGCGATAATGTGTCTGTTGAAAAACAGAATCTCGGTAGTAGAAAAGAATTTCGCGATCGTTTTCGTTGTGACGTCTGTTTCGTGGATATTATGTGGAACGGTCGCATTATATTATTATACGCGTATGCGCGCGCGATCGAATCGTCCATATCGTAAAGATATAAGCGACCTTCTCTATATTTATTCGCGTGGGAAAGGGTTGATTCTCTCACGTTTATACAAGTCACACTTGTCGTGGACGAATCGAACTTCTCTCGCGAATGAAATTATCGTGGTTTTGTCGCGTTCAATCAGTTGAGACGAGACGCATCACATTCGCGCAACATCGTCGTCATCTGACATATAAACCTGACATATGAATCTGACTTCTTGTTTTCTGGTTATCGTGTGAGACTTTACGAATAAATGAGCAGAGTGATCGTTTTTTGCCCAATCTTCGTGTTTTGTCTTCATGATATGGGGAACAAATGCACGGATGAAAGCGATATATGAACGTAATTTGTGTGTAGATACATATATTTTTAGACGATGAAAAGTGCGACGTTGCGCGCGCAATACAATAAAAAATAATTGGACGTATGGTATAGGGTTCTTTGCAAATATTTTGTAAATAAAATAACAATAAAGTGACAGTTTTTCTTCAAGTTTTCGCAATTATTATTCTGTCCTATTATTAATGTCACATACGTTTGATATTGTGTGGCAGAGTGAAGACATGGGCGCACAAACTGGGCTTCGAGTTATCGCAGTTGGGCAAATACGTGACAAACGTGGAGAAGTTCCACGAGAGTTACAAACAAGCGGAAGTGACGCCACGTGACGGAAAATCCCTTGTTCACGAGATCGCTAAGGATATTAAGGTCATGATGGAGTCCAAGATCTCGGCTATTAAGGTACAGTTCTCCCTTTATTTTGATTGCCGTGACTCCTTCCTTTTTATCGTTCTTTCATCTAACAACCTAATAACTAAATGCGACAAGTAAGACACGTAAAACATATAAGTAACAAGTAAGACAAGTAAGAGACGTAAAAATCGTTTTTGCTCACAGAGGATAATGGATGTGGCCGAGACATCGGCGTTGTCGGCGCTCGACGTGGATCCGCCTTCGACCTTCGACTTTATCAACGCGAAGAACAATACTATCGATGTTGAGTACAGTCCTCATTTCGGTGGCGATGTGAACGTTAACATGTCCGCGGTGCACGTGCCCACCAACGTGTACGAGCGCGCTTCAAATGTCATCCGGGCGATCAAGTGGTCCGAGGCACTCGATCGGACTTTTATCAATAATTATGAACAGGACCCGTCATTGTCCTGGCAGTATTTTGGCAGCGCAACCGGCTTCATGCGCCAATACCCCGCTACAAACTGGTACATGCAGTCAGTGGATCTGTTCGACTGCAGAACCAGGAGTTGGTACATCGAGGCGGCGACCAGTCCCAAGGACATTCTCATCCTGATGGATACTTCCGGCAGTATGACCGGCATACGCAGAGAGATCGCCAGACATGTGATTAACAACATCCTCGACACGCTCGGCAACAACGACTTTGTCAATATCATCACCTTCTCCAACGTGACAAAGGAGGTAAACTCGGCGAGAGAATCGAACGTGATCCAAGAGGGAAGGGAATTATATGTTATTTACGTGTGTGCATGCATTTGTGTGTGTGTGTGTGTGTGTGTGTGTGTGTGTGTGTGTGTGTATATATATTTTCAGCAATCTCGAGAATATCGCTATTGATCGTAGGTAGTGCCGTGTTTCAACGACACCCTGGTTCAAGCGAACTTGGCAAACGTACGCGAGCTGAAGAAGGCCATTTCGCATCTTGTGACAGAGAAGATTGCCAACTTCTCCCTGGCGCTTACCACCGCGTTCGAACTGCTCGAATCATTCCGTATCGAGAGGGAGGGTGCCAGATGCAATCAGGCGATCATGCTCATTACCGACGGAGTGCCGTACAACTACCAGGAGATTTTTGAATCGTACAATTGGAAAGACAATCCCGATGAGCCTCTCAAAGCCGACATGCCCGTCAGGATATTCACTTATCTGATCGGCCGTGAAGTCGCCGATGTACGGGAGGTACAGTGGATGGCCTGCGCCAACAGAGGATACTTTGTGCATCTGTGCACCCCGGCAGAAGTTAGAGAGGAGGTCGGTTGGACGAAAGTGCTCTCTCAATATTTAACATTGAGATTTTTTCTCCATAATTAATTGCTTTTTCTAATCTCTTTATAGCAAAGCGTTATGTATTTTCCTTTTTCTTCTCTCTTTTTCTATGATGTCGATTACAATTGAATATATTTGTTGAATCTCGTGATGATCTCGGGTCGGGAATTTTAATTTTAAGCGAAGAGAATCTAACTTCAAAGCGTAATAATGGAGATAATAATAAACATAACTTATAATAATAATAACTTTTCGCAAAGATCCATCAAGCTTTTTAAAACCGCCAGGTGTTAAAATATGTGCCGGTGATGGCAAGACCTTTGGTTCTGGGTCGTACGGATCATCCTACCATCTGGACGCCCGTTTACGCCGATATAACCGACCCGAAGATGACCGACTCGCTATGGGAGCGGCGTGAGAACGAGGAACAGAAGGAGCGCTTCCTAGTTAACTACAGAAGAAAGTTGAACTCGGAGGAGCAGGACCGGCGATTTGTGAAGAAGCAGAAAAGACGGCACGACCAGAGCAGCGAACTGCAGAAGTACAAACTGATGACATCGGTCAGCATGCCGGTGTTTGATCGACGCGAGAACGCGGTAAGATCCTCTTTCTCTCTTTCTCTCTTCGTTATCGCTGTTGTTATCGCGTGAAATACGTGAAATCGAGAGTTGGCCGTCAAAAGCCAATCGACAATCACACGTCCACGTATCGTCTATCAAGAGGGATGCGAAGTATTAATTTCAATTCGTTTCCTTCTTTCTTCTTCTTTCCGAGGAAAATAGTACGAAATTTCTTATAACAATTATCGCTGATCTGCTTGCTTTTTTCTGTCTTCTACTCCTTTTTTTTTTCGTTATGAATTTGTCTACATTAATTTTTTTCACCTTTTTACACAAATTTTCTTTTTTTAATTTCCACGCAATATTGATTCGGTGCGCAATTTCAAGCGTGCGGAAAGTTGCAACGATTGATAGATCATACGTGTCGAATCGATCGAATCAAAAGCGACAAACGGAATTTGATTTGTTATCATTAGCTGTGTCAATACTCGATTGCAGACGTAGAGGTCAGACGTAGAGGTCAGAGACGGAGCTGCGTTATCGGTATTTTCTGCATATCACACACTTCTCAGACTCGAGAGAGTTTGCGATAGATGTTGACGAGTTGTGCAACACAGCGACATTTTAAATGATTATAAAAATTCTAATATTCTAACCCCGAGATACCTGCGAAATTGTGTTGGTATTATCGTTTACCACAAATCGGCATCCTCTCATTTCAGTAATCATCCATATATCGAGCAATACATACTCGTCGGACTAGCGTACAAACATTTCATATGTAAATGGATTTTCTCACGAGTTCCCAAAACGAGACAAAAGTACCTCGCGAATCACGTGGATTTGCCCTCGGGGTATATTCACGTTGCACTTGCTTCGGTTTTAAGTCCCTCTTTGTCCACAGAACATCACAAGGCAGGTGCTGGTGAACGAAGCATACTGGAAGACAGAGACAAGAGAGGTTGGCAGCTAAAACAAAAAACTCAAAAAGCAACGTTGTTCTAATGCATAGTATATCCCGTATCTTTATCTTTCGTTTTCGCGCGCGACCGATCTACGACCTCATCTTTGCCATCACGACGTAATTCTCGTTTAACGAGGTCTGATTATTTCTCTCTCTCTTTTTTTTTTTCGTTCATCGCTCATCGAATTCATCAAACCTCAAAGCACATTCGTTTTGAATAATCCTTGATTAATATTATACGCATTATATTAATTGTATTGCAATTAATTGTATTGCAATTAATTTTCGAATTTATTTTTCTTTATTTTGCGACAAGAGAAAACAATTTTGGATACAGTGGAATATTAGTTGTGTGCGATATAGATGGTAATGTGTCGCCCGACAAGTAACATCGAGTCGCAAGATATATTGACGTCGTTCAAACGAAATTTCGAAATGATCATTCCGACCGAGCGTCGACGTCGAAAGCGAAGATGCTGGAACGAGGTCGTAGACGCGCGATCTCTTTTAGGTCCATATTCGACTTTCTCTGATACCTTATGTTGATCTAACACTAGTACTGGGATTATTTCAAGTCATTAGGTAGGTTTAGGTACGTTAGTCTACCCTGTGTCCTGTCGAGACGAGTAGAAAAAGGCAAGTCCTGTCCGCCTGTTGGATTGCGTACGGCGAAACGATCCTCGCAAAACATTGAGATCCTTAGAGATCGTTCTGCAGTGACTACATAATTATATATCTTTGATACGCGAGAAAGAAATATATTAATCGAAAGAGCGGGCGAACGGACGTAAATCGTAAAGAACACAATAGGGAAAGAAAGAAAAATAAGATGACACGAAACGAGAGAAACTAAAGTAAAGTCTGAAGATTGGTCGATTAATCTTCGAGAAACATTTCTCTCTCTCTTCCCATCTCGCAAATTATTTCGGAGAAGATGAAGTGCAAAGATATGTGCAAATAACAATAGGTAAATAATAAAATGCAAGGGAGAGTAACGAGAAACGAGTAATTAGATTAAACTTTATATGACGATTGTAACGATTGATGGAACTGACTTGTAGCTCGTAGAACGCGTGAGCGCACTACTACTTCTTTGCGTCCATACGCTCGCTCCTTCTGTGACGAGTAAGCGAGCAGGCACGCACGTATACACGAATACGAATTTGACAGTTTATTGAGTGCTAGATTTCGCTAGTCCGTGACATTCGTAGATCTAATTCAAGCGACGACCTACCTCCACCGCTTCGACCGTTACCTTATACTTTTTAAATGAGATCTCGCGTTGTGACGTATCAGTAAACATTGAACAAAGTTTCTTTTGCTCGCGGTAACGCACTACACGCTACTTGGTATTTGTCTTTATTGCATTTATTGGCTGCATGACAATGCAGAAAAAATGAACGATGTGTGAATTATGTAAAATATTTTATTTTTCTCTGTACGAAAGGAAAAGCAGTGAAAGGTTGTCGCTTTGAAAGAACAGAGCTAATTGTTATTTAAACTAACACTTAGGGTAGCCTGCGTCCAATGTTGTTACTTAATCATAGAGAGAATTTGTTGGCGTTGTTCAATTATTATAGTTTTTCATTGTATACCGTTATCATTATCATCATCATCATCATCGCCATCATTATCACCACCACCCACTACCATCATCATTATCATCATCATCAGCATCATTATCATCAGCAGCATTAGCATCAGCATCATTATCATTATCATACATATTGAGACTGTAGTTGAGCTAGTGATTGCGTTCGGTCGCAAGAAATTCATACTTTTTTTACTGCTCGTCTCTTTCGCGCTTTCTCTCTCTCTCTCTCTCTCTCTCTCTCTCTCTCTCTCTCTATCTCATGATTCAACATTTGTCGAATCATGAATGATATCTCTACAAATAAAATCTTCTTTTGATAGTCGCGTGAAATTTTATGCAATCTACGGTACATGTTTCGCTTTATTCGTTTCTCATCATGCACATCATACAAGATACAGCGATCGTGTTTTATCTTTAAGGTGTCTCCTATTAGAGGCACCACTTTATTCGGCAAAAGAAAACCGCAGTCATTCTATTTTTTACGTGAAACTTGCGATAACACGTGACTCAGACGAATATTTAAAACATTCATTTTATATATTCATCTTTCTTTGACGTACACAACGTTACAGGTGAATAAAAATTTTTCATCATGCTCGTCGACACACACGCACACATACATTCATGTACACTCATATACATACGCACGTACACGCACACACACACACACACACACACACACACACACACACACACACACACACACACACACA